AGTTTAAGAAAAGGCTAATAAGAATAAAAACCAACTTGTGTGCTATGCCTCAAAAACAAAACCCTCTCTGCAGAGTTAAAAATAATTTCAACGTGTACTACTCAAAGATTAACTGTGCAACTTTGGTTTGTATTTTTCATAATTAATGAAATATGGAGGACCGTGTGCTTAGTGACTCACTCTGTATATTGTCTACTCTGTAGTATGTGCAAGGTTGATAAAACTGTTGCAAGTACCGTTTCTGCAAATTACCGGGCGCTAAATCCAGGAATCCACACTTGGGCGAAGGATAGCAAAACCTCGTAATTTGCTCTTAACCTCCAGACGCACTACAAATTTACAATTAACAAACGTTTTCGCCATAACCTCCATATGAGCAGTGACTTATCAATTATTATCTCGGATTTACATTTAAATATAGGTTGGCGTCGCGACCGTGGCGCAATATACAGGGGTCTTTTTATTTGATGTTAATCCTGTAACTTTAATTAATTCTCACTTCCGGAACACCGAAAATGAGATCAACTTTATATTTTTAAATGCAATACGAAGTATATTTTTAATAAATGAATCGTTTGAATTTTTTACCACAAAAAATCAGGAAGCAACCAATATTCTAAAATTAATAATAAAAAAGTTATTCGGCGAAATAAATGAACATTTAATATCTATTTCTTTATGAAAATCTACTACTTTGAAAAATTAACAGCCATATTTTCATTCGCACAGTTTTATGAAACAAAAAAATTTTTTGATCAATGAAAACAACTATTAAATAAAATACAGACCACTTCAAAACACCCTGTACAGGTCATATTTGGATTGTACTGAACTAAGCTTACTTAGAACTAAAAACAATGGCGTTTACAGAATTTTTATAACTCTATCCGTTTTCAATAAACACATATACCACCTTGGATAGGTCCAGTGATTTCAAAGCAATCGGTTTTGCAGTTTCAAAGTTATATTGCAAAATAAATATTGTTATTCAGTTTTGGATTTTTTGCAAAATTCTGAATGTCTAGGGTGAAAATTCGCCACGGATTCACAAACCACAAGTGCAGGAGTATCTGGTTTTATGGAATTTAAAAAAAACTTTATTATAAATTTTGTAGATGACGTCATGCTTTTGGTGGTGGGGACGATTAACCAAATTTGAGTTAGTATTTAACCATCTACGTATAATATATACAAAATTTGACAACAATCGCTGCAGTAGTTTCGGAGTTTACTTGTCTAATAAAAATGGATACAGATAAACAGACAGAGAGACAGACAGACAGACGAAAACAGGACACCACTTTTTTCGTAATCTTGAGTTTCGATAGCCACGAGTGGATTATTTTTCACGAGTAGATAATAGATATTTTTTATGGTTTAGGATGTTTTTCTGATAAATATAACATTCAATTAAAAATTGATGCGGTTCCTAAAGTTAATTCTCCAAGAGGAGTTCCTGTAGCAATTAGAGATCGTTTAGACAAAAGTTTAAATTTACTTGCTGAAAAGGACATGATTAGCAAAGTAAGTAATGAAACATCTGAATGGGTCAACAACACAGTTGTTGAAAGGCCAGACAAATCATTACGAATTTGGATCCTAAAGAACTAAATGAATTTATACCAAGAGACTTTTATAAAATTCCCACCAAAACTAGCTCATAAAAAATTCTTTACACTTTTAGATCTCAAAGATGGATTTTGGCATGTGTAAATGACAGAAGAATCTTCTAAATTATGTACATTTAGTACACCTTTTTTATATATGGTATAAAATCAGCTCCTGAAGTTTTTCAAAAGTTAAATAGCCAATATTTTCCTGGTATTGATGGAATCATAATTTATAAATACAATATTTTAATATCTGCTGAGACGAAAAAAGAACATTATAGAAATTGAAAGCAGGTAATAGATTGAGCTAGACAGGTTTATTTATATATCTACACATAGTATTATACAAACGAAGTTAAATATCTAGGCATTATATTTAATGAGCAAAGTGTAACAGTGATCCAGGTAAAACAGATGATATAAAAAATTAAAAAAAACCTACTAACAAAAAAAAAATACAAAGAATTTTGAGGTTAACAAATTATCTTAGAAATTTTATTTCTAATTTAGCTTCTTTAATAGGCCTATGAACAGACTTGTTAAAAAAGATACTGTTTGGTCATGGAGTGAAAAGTAATAACTATTTTTGACATAAACTTTTAGTCAGTTTGTTAAACAAAAAGTTGAATCAAGTAAAAAGTAATAGAATAAAGAAGCTTTTACTAAAAATAATGATTTATGATATTAATATTAAATATTTACCTGGAAGGTAGATGTAAATTGCAGATTTGTTGTCGAGGAATTTCATTAACGAAAATGTGAATGAAGAATTATTATTTATGAAAGACATTGTAGAGTTGCGGAAATTAGTTTCACACAACAAAAGTTTGAATTATTTGTAAAATAAACTAATGATGATCCAATGTTAAATACAATCATTGAATTTTGTAAAAATGGCTGGCCAGAGGGAAAATATAAGAAATTGAACATTTTCTTAATTTAAAAAATCTATTTTTTTGGAAAATCAGTTATTTTATGAAAACAGGTTAATTGTACCTAAAAATTTAAGGAAATTATGTTAAATAGTTTACATGAAACACATCTTGGCATCACCAAGACAAAACTAAATGCATAAACAACAGTATATTGGCTAGGAATAATGAGTAGCATAGAAAACATGATTATATCGTGCATGATTTGTAATAGATTCAGTGCAGCTATGTTAAAGAACCATTGTTGAAGCATGAAATACCGGAATATCCTTTTCAAAAAATTTGAATAGACATTACAGAATTGGTGGTGTAATTATCTTATAATAGTTGATTGTCAGTATTGGGGACTGATACTTTTAAAAGTATCTAGATACAGATTGTTTTCGATTTTTTCGAAATGTATCTAGATACAGATACAAGAAAATAGATACTTTTGCAGGTTTGGCGAATAAAATACCTGAAAACATGTTTATGTATTTTTTTTATGTATTGTTTAATGATTTTTTTTAAATTAACAACATTTCGAACGTATTGTCACCTAAATTATTTCTTCTTGGTGTCAGACTGTCAGAATTTGGTTTCCGCTACTAAACACCCGTTCCACAGGTGCAGAAGAAGGAATTGTGGTATTAAATTTAAAAAAGTAAACATTTTACTGTAGCATAGTTATTCAAGACTGAAAAATCTTTTCATTTTTCCTGTAAATAGGCCATCGCTTCGTTGTTTGATGTGTCGCAAATTGTGCAATATTTATTATGTACGCTTAAAAAGAATATTTTTTTTGTTTTTATTCCCATACTACAGTGTCCAAATTGTGTTTGAGTATCTCTAATAATTATTTCCAGCATTAAAATTAACATTTCAAAAGAATACGGGAAATGATTATTTTGTGCTGAAGGTCTGTTGTCGGCAACCTGTCATAAATTATTATTCTTCAATATCGGCTTACGATGTTTTTATGACCATGTCCGGTAATCGTCTATCCCAGTGCGGCAGGTATATACATTTTAGGAAGAATTGATGGTTCCGTTTAAGGCAAAATAAGTACAATTTCTTAGAAAGAAAAAAATCGATTTTATCTAGATACAGATACTAGATACCCAAAAATGTATCTAGATACTTTATTTAGATACAAGTATCTAGATACTGCCCAACACTGCCTAAATCTAAAGGTGTTAAGTCGGGGCTACGAGGGGGCCATGCATTCACACTGCCTCTTCCAATCCACGTATTTGCAAACGTGTCATCAAGATAGTCCCTAACGACTCTGTGATAATGAGGTGGTGTCCCGTCCTACTAAAATCACAGCTCTTGCCGGAGGTTGAGGGTAACATTTTCTAATACTTAACCCCGGAAAATCATTTTCGAAAAATTGTCTATACCTGTGTCCAATTAAGTTGCCTTCGAAGAAGTTTGGGCCAAATACGTAATCTTTTAATCGTTCGTGTATTTAACCCTCATCTTATCGCAAAGACTAAAAACTTATCGGAGCTCAAAATTGACAAATAGAATTATTGCGAAAGTCAAAATTAACTAGAGAAACAAAAAAAAGAGTTACATATGAGATATATATTTTGTGTTTCATTGAAATTTGGCCAGGGTGCCGTTATTAGAATACTCACCCTGTATATTTTTTGGAATTGCTTATACAGAATGTTATTAATATTGTACCTACCCAGATTGTTCCTACTAAAATATTGATGGCATGCCCTTTATCTGCAGTTTAATAATCTACCTCGATTTCTTTTTAGCTTACTATGAAAATTGCAAAATCAAATTTTACGATTTATCTAAGAGATTGGATTTGTTTGAGTGTGTTTCAAGGGCGACGGAATTTTAATCGAAATACCTTGAAGCCAGATTTTTGCTGCATCCTCTATAATAAACTGAGCACATTCCCTGCACTTTTACACATTTCTCAATATAACATAGTTGCTATCGTGAGTATGTGCAAAAATGTCGCAACGCTTCACCTCTTCAACACAACACTTGAACACATTTAACATGCAATTGGCTAATCCGCACATCGACAATAGAAACAATAATAGAAAAATCTACTAAGTCTTGACAAATCTGCTTGTTTAAAAACCATACCTGACGCTATGTACCTACTATGTACGGTATTACATAAAATCAACATCTTTCGATTGCAAGGCGTACCCAAACGGTACATGTTGTAAGACAGAAAAATAAATTGATGGTGAAAGTGGCTGTATTACTTAATGTCCCATATCAGGCTATTCTTACCAGGAAAATACAGACGCCCAACAATTGATGCAGATTTCCGAGATAAAGTCTGCCAAAGTCACAAAACTTGCCAGAAATATTCAAGGACCTGGACACCGGCGTTTTCACAGATTTATTTCGTAGTTCCAATTTTTTCCTAAGGGTGATTCCTATCGCGCTCTGATTGTTTTGCCCCCTCCAAAATGTTTCAGCATTTATTGGAAGTAGCTATGGGAAATTAAATGGGTACGGTGTATTAGTAATTGAGCAGGTGGTTCCTGGCACATTCTTCTGCAGTGCTTTATTTAGTGTAAGGTTGTGCTTTGTGTTCTTAGTGCGGAGGTAATTAACGTTTTTCTTTGTGTGATTTTTGTAGTTTTTTAAAATTAGTAAAATTTTTATTCATGCTATTATTATTATTAATACTTTATTTTTCTAGGAAATCGAGACACATATAAACTTTTTATCTTTTGCCCTGCTGAAATTTTGCTTAACATCCAAAAGTTTTTAACAATTTTTAACTATTTTAGTAAAAGCTTAGGTTTAAACACAGTTTGAGTAGAGATATGGATTTTGTGAGTTATATTTATTTGGATTGACATTTTATGTTAATCAGTGCTATTAATCATTTCTCCAAGTAAATAAGTCGTTGGTTGAAAGTGGGCATTTCACGACACCTTGACCTAAACTTTAAAAATGAAAAACAACGTGATTAATGCCGAAAAATTCATTACACAGATTTCCGTCAATAGCTTTCTATGCAGCGGAAATTTATTGAGCGCAACGAAACATGTTATAATATAATACTTTTTTTGTAAAATGTGTGTGAATTATGTGATGCCACTTATTTCTAATTAATTCTTTTGTTAAGTTTTTTTTAGCATAGAATGCATTTTTCTAATATATTGCTTTATGCAAATAAGTTTTATTGTTTGTTTGTTATTTTTTATTAACAATACGCCCGTTCAAAAACTAATCTGAAAGCAGTACTATTGTACTATTATTATTTTATGGATTTTAATACAGTTGTGGGAAAATTAAGGAAATCAATTTACGTACAGCAATATCATTTGCAAAGGAAGAACAATGAAACAAAATCATCGATTTATTTATACTGACGCTGCAAATCATTTGCGTACGAAATTTGAAATATTTTTTAGTGGATAGGTGTCTCGTTTATTAAATGAAAAACTCTATGTGTCGTTGAAAATTAAGAATCGTTACAAAAAAAGACTTAGGGTACTTAGGTAAGTTTGTTTACATAATAATTAGCAACTTGACAGTTTAAAAAATGAAAGTTATTTTATGTCTAAAAATAAAATTTTGTCGGCGTTTATTTTTTAGCAAATATTTATTTAAAAATTGTTTTGGAATGACGTCATCAACTTTCCCGAGGAGATAATAATTAATTTTTGTTCCGTAACCTCCAAATTAGCATTAGTTTATGAACAAAATTTTTAATAGAACAAATTTAGCTTTTCATGTATCTAAAAATTAAAACAAAAAAACATCGTCTTAGGTAAAATTATTTTTTTATTTTACACTTGTCACTATATATTGAGAACGGATAGAGTTATAAAAATTCTGTAAACGCCATTGTTTTTAGTTCGGAGTAAGCTTACTTCAGTACAATCCAAATATGACCTCTACAGGGTGTTTTGAAGTGGTCTGTATTTTTTTAACAGTGGTTTTTATTGATCAAAAAATTGTTTTTGTTTGATAAAACTGTGCGAATGAAAATATGGTTGTTAATTTTTCAGAATAGTAGATTTTCATAAAGAGGTTATTTTGCCGAATAACTTTTTTATTATTAACTTTAGAATATCGGTTGCTTCCTGATTTTTTGTAGTAAAAAATTCAAACGATTTATTTATTAAAAAATATGGTTCATATTCCATTTGAAAATATAAAGTTGATGTCATTTTCGATGTTCCGGAAGTGAGAATTAATTAAAGTTACAGGGTTAACATCAAATAAAGAAAACACCTGTATATGGTGCCGGCGGCGCGACGCCAACATATAATTATTTTTTATTTATTTTTTTTTTATTTTATTGGTTAACGTTACCCAACAGGCCGGAGGCCCAATTACAGGGTAACGGGGGACATACACAACACCCAGAGCAGGGCGGGAATCGAACCCACGACCCAAGGTGTGACAGGCAAGCGCGATGCTACCTAACCCACCCGGGTCCTCAAAATATAATGATTAAAATCAATAATTAATAAATAAATAATTAAATGTAAATCCGAGATAATAATTGATAAGTCACCGCTCATATGGAGGTTATGACGAAAACGTTTACTTGCAACAGTCTACAGAGTAGACAATACAAGACAGAGTGAGTCACTAAGCACACGGTCCTCCATATTTCATTAATTATGAAAAATAGGTACATACCAAACTTGCACAGTTATTCTTTAGTAGGTATACGCTGAAATTATTTTTAACTCTGCAGAGAGTGTTTTTGAGCCATAGCACACAAGTTAGTTTTTATTCTCATTAGCCTTTTCCTAAACTTTATAACCATTTATTTGATTTTTTTAATAATACAAAGGTTGACAAAAAAAGCGCAATAATGTTATTTGTAACATCTGTGATGCAATATTTTATGGAGAGATAAACAGAGGTACGTGCATCAATTCAATAAAATTTTAATATACAGAGTGTTTACAAAAAAATCAAAAACGTTACATTTTCAGTGATTGATATGTCAGTTTTTTTCAAATAGAACACTAGTACATGGAAGAGAATAAAATTTATTAAAATAAAAAAATATTCAAAGCAATGTAATTGTTTCCTCAAGAAAAATCATGGAATTTTAAAAACACAAATACAAGAAAAGTTGCGTTAAAAACCACTTTACGTTCAGTTTAGACAATATAATCACCTGGTTTATCGATCTCTCGCTTTGTTGTTAACATTGACATTGACTGAATGGGGACAGCTTTATTTTAGACCACAGTGTGTGAAGGTCTGTCCCTTTTTTACTTTCTTGAACACGTGGAAAAAGAAGAGACAGATACCATCTGTTCACAAACAACGAGAAAATGACTGAGTCTGTTGGTAGTACTTTTTAAACAAAAATGCGAACTCTTCTTGCGTTTATGTTGGCATAACGGAAGTAATTATGGGACAGGTATGTCAATCGTGGCATGCGCTAAATTTAGGTTATGTTTTGGATACATTCTGCATATTAAAAATGTCAACAATCTGTCAATCTTGACAGCTGACAACCGGAAATTATAGAAAACATCATGATACCAATTCCAACTAAAAATCCAGGATTGCCAACAGACTTGGTCATTTATTTCTTCGTATTATTGTTCTCAAATATTTGTAACTTTGCCACTTTTTCTTGGACTTTTATGTTATGCATTTTCTTTTCCCTTGAGATATCGTAGCTTTGGTTTTTTCGAGGTTTATCTTCATATTTATTTTTAATATGACCTGTCTAAGATGGTTAAATTACTTTATAGGTCTTCTGCTGTTTTCGTTGCAAACATTAGTTCTGTCGGGTAGATTTGTTCCCTCTGTTAGTATCCCACTTTAAGTTTTTTTCATTGTTTTCTTGGGTTCCATTATTGCTTTATCCAATACTATTGAGTATAAGAGTGGATTTAGTTCACACCCCTATTTCACTTCCATCTTTGTTTTAATTTGTTTTGTTCTTCATTGTTGGTTCTGACTATGTTTGTATACTTCTTTTAACATTTTTATTGTTCCTGTATGTATTTATTTTTGAAATTTTTCATGTTTCCAGTGAAACGTTTTTCCCAGTTTATAAAACAAATTTGTATCTCTTTTTTCGTGTTCGCAATTTTTTTGCTGCATCACAAATATTCCTCCCTTTCTGAACCCACACTGAGTGGCATCTATACCTGTTTCAATCTTTCTTCTTTTCATTATTCTTGCAAAGATTTTTCCGGGGATACTTAATAGTGTGATACCCTTATAATTATTGCAATCTCTCTTGTCCCTTTTTTAAACATCGGTGATGTTATTCCTGACTTCCAAATTTTTGGTATCTTTATTTCTTGTATTAGCTCATTCATTAGCTTGTTTAATTGTTCGCTCTCTTTTTCTCTCATATATATATATTTTATAATTTCTGGGGTCACATTATCTTTTTCAGGTGCCTTATTTAATTTTATCTTTCATATGGCTTCTGATAACTATTATTCTTGCTGTATTGCTTGTATTTCCTGTGATTCATTCTGTTCTTCATGTTCATCAATTCTTGTAAATGTTGTTGCCATCTGTCCACTATTTTCTGTCTCTTGATTTCTGATTTGATTTCCATCCTTGTCTTTTATGCTTTTATGCTTACGTGTTCCTATAGCCCCTAGAAAATACATAGTATCGTCACCGTGGAGCAAACCTGGCGGAAACTTAACAAAAACAAAAATTATAAACACTATTTGACAGACCACGAAATTTAAAATGGTTTTATGTTGGATTTAAAGTTTGTACTTTATATACAAAATATGGAATGTAATCAATAAAATCTTATTTAATAATTATTAGTTATATTAATTGACAATTAATTGACTTTAAACAAAAAGACCACGCCATGACCAGGTGACAACAACGGTTTACGCGCTATCAGCTCTGTGCTGACAGAATTTGGTTTCTAACCAGGGGAATTTTTTGCGTTACCAACTGCATTTGCTCCTCTCGTACAACAATGGATGACGGTACTATGTATTTCTAGGGGCTATACGTGTTCCGAAAAATAGTTTTTCGTTTTTTCAGAAGTTTGGGTCTCTCTGAATTTTATCCATTTTTGTTTTGCTTTCTTTAGTGTCTCTGTTTTTGTTTGACTCTTCAACTATATTTTTTCTCTTTGATTATTATTTGTTTTATTTATGGGTGAATTTCACCATTCTGTTCTTTTTATCTTTGTGTTTGTTATTTTTGTAGTTCGTCCTGGATCCAGAAAGCAAATTTTGAAATATTTCTGTTTCTCTTCTATTTTAAGTCTTTCCGGTTCCTTTAATTTTTCACTTGGTATATATTAATATTTTTCTCTGTATTTTGTTCATTTAAGTTTATAATATTTATCTTCTGTTGCATAGTGCCTTCTTTTTTCTCTTTGTTTGCTTTCTTTATTTTCGTCATTTCCATTTTTACCAAATAGTGGTCACTTCTTGTTTCTGTTTCTCTTGTGACTCTTAGACTTTTTAAAATTTTCTACTTTCTTTTTACTTTCCGAGCGTAAGCGACGGAAGTATTGCAAGCGAGTCCGCTCTCTACTTTTACGTCTCCTCGACGTTTCATGACCCCTAGAGTGCAAAGAAATTGGTCAATCTGTCTCTCTCTTTATCTATCCGTCTGTCTGC